TGGTTTTTCTAAAGAATAGCTTGTCTCAAGTGGGATTAGCAGATGACATACTAATACCTTGTGGTCTAAGAATAAATACACACTTACACATGCAGGATGTGAGCCTGCCTATTGTACTATGTCCAGGACAGCACTAAGTGTTTTACATACTGTGGCAATCATAGGGATGAAAATGAGTATGTATTGTCTTAAATTATGTTCCCATGACTGCTAAAGCTCAACATTTTTCATGAATTTACTTCAAAATGTTTCTGTAAATTGCCTGTTGGAAGGTTTGTGCTCTTGTTAAAATATAGGTGTTCTTCATATCTTAAGGATATGAACATTTGTCACTGATATAATATTTTTCTTCTATTCTGGCCACATCAATGTTTTTCATATAATTGTTTTTCTCCATGGTTTCTGCACATTTTTTACTTCATGCAAAAGATCAAGCCCTTTACTTTATTTGAGAACTAAGGAAAAAACCAAGAACTGGTATTGAAGTTGAATAGGAAAATAACCTAGTGGTTTTTCTGTGATGTTATTAGATATGTACTAGAGATGGCATTGTAGTAGCTACTTGGGATAAGACTCGCACTTTGCCAGTTTGTTAGATGTTGACTGATGGCAATTAGCCAAGTAGTTAGCAGTGATCTCATGGTGTTAAGGATCTAAAAAATGAAGCTTGGAGCACTTAAAAATGAAGAACACATCGGGCTTTTATCTGAGATCATGAAGGAACACATCTGATCTAAAAGGGCAAACTCGAATTCTGACCAAAAGCCCTATTAAAATAATTCAGGGGACTATACCTGCTGAAGCTAAATTATCCTCAGTTTTCTTAGGCAGTACCCAGTATTCAACTAAGAATAAAAATGCAAACAATGTAATTAAAATTGAAAAAACCCTAGGAAGTAGAAATCCCCATGTAAGCCTTATATCTGACATAATTAAGAAAATATATGGGAAAAGCATGTGGGATCATTCCAGAAAGTAGACTATACAAAAATCGGGAAAAACCTATAACTACAATAGTAACTGAAATTAACCATAGATGGGACCCAGCAGCAGGTTAGAAATAGCTGTTGAGGACTAATACTACAGGAAAATAACCTATAAAACTACCCAGATTAAAGCAAGATTGGGAGAGGAAGTGGAAACATGGGTGAAAGACCTATTGGGTGCAGTTTTCAGAAGTGAGGGTTAGTGAGAATGGGGCTCATGCAATATTTGAGGAGATAATGTCAATTTTCCCCAAATGACAAAAGATGTGCCACAAACTTAATTGATACGAGCCCCATTCAAGATCAAAACAAAATTAACCTGCACCTAGGCACACAGTAAAATTACTAAAAGTCTAAAGTGGCAAAGGGTGGCAAGAAGTTGCTACAAAGACTGATCTTGCTTCTTTATGAAAACTTAGTTAAGCTAGAACGTTGAAATACTTTTTCTCAGCATTGAATAAGTGATGTCTGTCAACCTTGACTATTGAGCAAAAATACACTTAAAATGAAAACAACATACAAAATCATGTAGTTTTATTCTTGGTATCAGTTCTCCAGGAATAAGGAACATGAAATGAGGCAGAATCATGAAGAAAGCAATGAACAACAGCTAAGGGTCAATTTATGACAAATACATAAAATCTAATAGAACAGCTAAAATTCTTTTGGGTTTTCAGAAGACACAGCAAAAAGCCAATAGGGGTAAATGGAGCTAAAATGCTCAAACTTTGCACAAGAAATGCCATTGTTTTAGATACCATCAGGGTAAATAATGTGAAATGAAAAGAATAATTGGCAGTCTTCTGAATGGGAATAATGAATTAACACTTCCTCTACTCCTTGCCTTCTAAACTAAAAGTATATGAATAGTCATTTGGCCTGGTGGTTAAGACACTGCTCAGGATGCCTGTATCCCATACCAGAGTGTATGTGTTTTAGTTTCTGTTCTTGACTCAGATTTTCCACTAATGTGCATCCTGGGAGGTAGCGGATGATGGCTCAGGTACTTGGGCATCCCTGACCCTCATGTGGGCAGCCTGAATTAAGTTGCACATTCATGGCTTCTGCCTGGCCTCAGCTGTTAGCATTTAGAGTTAATCAGTGAATAAGAGATTGGTCTCTTTGCCTTTCTAATCAATAAAAATTCATGAGAGAAGAGCCATCAGGATGAGAGATCTGGAGCTATTTTCTTTATAGCCTTTCGAGAATTAAGAGGCTGGTGGTGTTGTGCAGTGCGTCGAGCCAAAGCTTATGATAGAGGTATCTCATATTGCAGCACTGGTTCGTGTCCTGTCTGCTTCTGATCCAGTTCCCTTTTAATGCACCTGGGGAAAGCAGAGGAATGTGGTTCAAGTACTTGGGCTCCTACCACTCATGTGGAGACCTGGAGGGAGTTCCTGGCTTCAGTCTGGTCCAGCCCTAGTTGTTCAAGCCATCTAGGGGGTGAACTAGCAGATGAAAGATGTTTCTGTCGCATTACCTTGCAAATAAATCCTGGCAGGGGAGAATAAGCTTTAAAAAAAAAATTACTTTTCCTTAAATACCTTGGGTGGAAAATGGAAATCTCTTTTAACGAGGCTAGAAAATGAAGACCTGTAAAAATCATCTACCAACAGAAAAATCATCCTAGTCTGATATTTATGATTAAATGCCAGGGCTCCAAGGGCAGTTTGATTCTCAAATTCACCAAAGAAAACTTGGATATATCAATGAGTTAAAGAGGAAGAACTGATGTTATAGTTGCCAAAAACTTTAATCACTACTTGACAAAAATAAGTTGGATCACAGACAATAATCAACTTGTCAATTTTGTAAACTTGACATTCATGATAAATGAACTTTGAGGACATGATGGCAAGTCAGACAGGCACAATCTCACTTTCATGAAGCATCTAAAATGCTGACATGGCAAACGAGCAGGGGGGTGGGGAAATGTTCAACATACAGTTAGGTTAAATCGGTTCTAATGTAGTGCATAACAACTATAATTCTGAATTGTGTTCTTGAAACTTGCATAAACCTTACCAGAAAACGCAAGGAACTAGGGTGAGGTGAAAAAGTATGTTAAACAACTTGATTGTAGTCATTTCACAAAATGTCTATAAAATCATTGCACACACTAAGATCACATGACTTTGTGACATACTTCAATAAAACTAGAAAAATTCCAGCTGAACTAAAGACCTAAACTTAAATCTCATAAAGCAAAGAATCTGAAAGTAACTGAAGCAGAAATGCTAGAAAAATACTTGGGCTGAGCCTCCTCAGGCCCTTCGTTAGTTCTTATCTGCGCCCTCTCCCGCCCCCCTCCCAGCCATATATCTCACAGGCCTCTGGGACAGGGTTTAGGTAAGTCCATTTTTCTTAGGTTTTCTTATCTGTTAGAGCTCATTAAATGCTTGTCTCTTCTATTTCAGTAGTCGCAGTGCTCAAGAACATAGCAGATATGTGATAAGTTTTGATGAAATAGATGAACAACAACCTTGGCCAGCACCCCCACAACCATTCTAGCATGCCTGTCTCCTGGGGCAATAGCCAGAAACAGCCAGTGACAATCTCATTCCACAGTGGACAGTGTAGGCTTTGGAGTCAATGACCTGGATTGACTCCTAGATGTGAGTGATGTCATCCTATGTAACTTGCCTCTCTGCAGCTGACTGCCTATAAGTTTCGTAGGCTACTAAGTCTGTGGCTCAGGTGCCTGGAAACTGCTATACTTTGTTACTGTTTGTTGGGATGTTGGACTAAGATGGGAGAATTGCGGTGTGTGTGTGTGTGTGTGTAAAAACTTGCATTTCTTAGTGGTAGGACAACTTATGGGGGTAAAACTAGAGTAAATGTGTCAATAACTTTGCTGCTTCATTCACACCATCCTTAATCTCCTTTTGCTCATTTTCCCCCTCTGGCAATCTGTCTTGGTGGTCCCGCACCTGGGCTGTACTTCACCTGAACCAAGTCCTAGGATGCTCTTCAACAGGGTTTTATAAGCAGCTGGTAATGCAAACAGCTGTCCTTTTACTGTCACTCCTTTTAGAATGAATCCAAGATTGCACAAACTTAAACCACAAGCATCTTGTGGCAAAAACTCTGCCAGACTCCCTCCCTGAACAGCAGAAAGATCAGGGCTAGGTGCTGGAAGCTCAGTTCTTGCCTGGTTAGCCACAAACCCACTGTACTCATGTTTCCTACTGCATCAAACTCTTATAATAGGCTCTCCTGTCTACCTCAAACCATGATGTGAAGTCCACAATCTAAAATGCACAAGATTTCTCATACGTGGAGAACATGTAAGTATGATTCATACCCATCAGAACTGAGTAATCTCAAAATAGCTTGCTAGTTGTGGGGCCTAGCACAGTTCATGTCACTCTGAGTCCTGGTTTCCTTGTCTGTGGAATGACTGTGGGGTGTGTGACAGAAGAGCAGCCCAAGAGGGTGGGTGTATGGTCAACCTAGCCAAGAGGGTTGAATCACTTGGTGTGGTGTCATAGCAGGAAGAGAGGCCACAGAGGCCATGGGAAAGCTGAAATGCATTGCTCCTAAGCAAGTTTTGCCACTTAGTTCCATCCACACCTTTTCCTTCTGAGCTATGGAATCTGGTCACCTGGAACTTTTTTCTACACTCTAAGGCACTCTTAGTTCTTGAGTATGAGATCTGCATCCTTAGACTGACCACAGGTTCAGCAATGATAGAAAATGAGGTCTCTGGGAAACACCCAGGTTTAGTGACCTTGAATGTGACTTGGGGAGAATAGTGCCATTATTCCTGTGTGTGTGTTAAACCTTACTAGCATTTGTATGATATGCAAAGCAATACACATTCACATTGGCGGGCAATGACATAAACAGATTTCCTTTCCTAAAGCACTTCTCGTCATTACTATGTTGAAACACATCTTGAGACGGGTAACATAGATACAGGATGTCAGGGCTCAGTGCACTGAAACAGAGCAAGTCTCTTTGGAAAGTCACACTGCCATTTCTAAGGTGATGCTGAAATGTGTTCCCACTCACCTACAGAGATGGTCCAAACGGCAATGATCTTCAGAAAGGCCTTTGTTCTGGAGTTGAAGCGGCTGTGGTGGATGGGATTCTGGATGGCCACGTAGCGGTCAAGTGAGATGGCACAGAGGTGCATGATGGAAGCCGTGGAGAAGAGTACATCCAAGTAAATCCAGACTGCACAGAGCTTGCTGGGCAGAGGCCACCTGTACCCTGGGATGCAGAAGGACCATATCAGGAAGCAGTCTTGCGCCTCTTGGGGTGTGTGGGTCATACCCTGTGATAAGTTTGTCTCAGACAGGCAGAGGTGATGGCAAAGGGCAATGAAAGGAACAGTGCTTGCTAGCAACTGTCTTTAACTACATTAAGTCCTGCTGGCTGTGAATAGGGGGTTCACAAGTTTCTAATACCTGAAATTATGTCAGTGCAGTGAGGCATATTCAAATTGTCCCTCTTGAGGGGCCTTCTCTTCTTAAGATTCATTTGAAAATCAGAATTGGGAGAGACAAATCTTCCATTTGCTGGTTCACTCCCCAAAATGGCTACAATAGCCAAGGCTGGGCCTGGCAGAAACCACGAGCTGCTTCTACGTCTCCCACATGGATACAGGGACCCGAGCATTTGGGCAATCCCCTGCTTTCCCAGACACATAAGCAGGGAGCCAGGTCCCAAGTAGAGCAGCCAGGTATCAAACCAGCACCCACATGGGACGTCAGTGCTGCAGGCGGCCACTTGACCCACTACATCACTGTATTGGGTCTTGACAATTTATGTCAAAAGGATGACTTGCCTCTGTTTTTGCTCCATAACTCTGCCTTTCAAATCTTAAAGTTTGACTTAAAGTATGTACATGCTTTGGGGTCCTCTGTTAGCACAGCTTCCACACTACACTGCTGTTATTTACCCGTACGTGTATTTCTCCAGATTGTAGGTCCCTAAAGTTAGGGACTGTCTCTTAGCCATTGAGTTCCATGGTCCAATCCCATACAGTGATGGTAAAGATAGTGCAAGATGATAACTAAATTAAAAATCCACACTGGGAATATGTCTTTGTTCAGAAGGATGAGATTCTAATAACACTGTTAGTACTAAAGTTGTATTTTGAGTGTGAGGGGATGAATTGAAGAAAAGTATGGATGTCTTTGTTCTGAGTTGCTTTTTGGAGGCAGTTGTTCACAAACTTGAGTGAGCAACAGCCTAGATGGCTGCTTAAAACGGGCTGCTGCACCTGCCGCAGAGGTCCTGACCTAGTGAGGCTGGGGCGGGCCCAAGCTAACTTTTTTTAAGTAGGTTCCAGGTGATGGTGATGTCAACTGGTTCACGATCCCACGTTGAGAGCTGCTGCGTAAGGCAGTGGTTCTCATCCCTGGTTGCACTGTCAGTCAGCAGGCTAGCCTTAGGGTAAGTCCTGATGCCCAGGCAAAGAGCAGCCCAGGGAAATCATTTCAGGAGGGTGGGAAGATGTTGGTTCCAACCATAAAGTGTTAAAAAGACAGACAACTCCATTATTAGGTGCATGATGGCTCACCTGCTGTACTAGAAAGTAGGGCATACTTTATGCATGTAAGCAAAGTGTCCTTCTTTGGTTTGAGTTTTGGAAGGGAATCGATGGCTATATAACCATTAATCCTGATAACCGTAGGAGCAGTGAGGGTTAGCTCTGCCTGCATGTAAGAAAACTTACAAAGCATACTTTCTATTACAGACCTACAAAACTGAACAAACTTTCCACATACAACTCTGCTTTCCCTACCACACAAATGCTACCAGGGTTATTTAGACAAAGGGTGAAGGATACAAGCCTATTATTTCAGACCCTTTCAGTCAAAATGGGACGAATTTGAATTTAAAAATAAGCCTTCAACACTGCCTGGAGCGGAAGCTGGCTTCTCCTGTTCGGATCTGATGTCTGCTGTTGGAGGGGCTTTCCCCTACCAGGAGGTGGCGGAGGCCTAGATAAGGAGGGGGCACTTCCTTGGGAGGGGTGGCTCCGGTCTCGGGAACCGGTGGCACCCTTGTTGGAACAGGCTAAGTGCAGAGCAGCTGCCGCAAGGGGGCGCCGTTGCACCCCGAGTGGGTGGTACCAGGGGTCACGACTGCCTTCTTGCAGCCGTTCCTGTTTAAGCCACCCCTCTGAGTTGGATTCCGAAGTGGGGCGGGGTTTTGGGTTGCGAGGACCTCTTTCCAGCAAGTCTGGGGAAATGACAAGCAAATTTAATGAGATCATTCGGATGTGATACTTATGGTCAAGGTGGCAGTGGGGGTGGGGCTGGCTTTGCTATGCGCAGCAGCCCTGTGCAAACTGTCTGCCCTCCTTCATCACACACGCTTCAGGGTTGGGATGATTTAAAAAAAAAAAACAAAAAAAACCCTAACCTGTTAGCCCCTCAAGCTTGCCCAACTAATCAAGACGGCTCTTGGAACCTGTACCTGAGCTCTGGGTGACTGGTGATGTTTCAATTGTCCGGCTCTCAATCTGGCTGTATTTTTTTAGCATTTGCAGAAAATATCATGTTCTGTGCCTGGCTGAAGTCGTCCCAGTGTTTATTGACTTTGCTGTGAGGTTTGCCTATTTGAAAACCGGAAATGAAAGCAAGACGGTCTTCTACTCTGCTGTATCCCAGAAAGGAGGCGTTGACACACATGCATTTTTAAAGAGTTAGGGGTATAATTCAAAGGCTCGCTCTCATACTGGCTTCTTAGGGCAGGGAACAGTTAGAACGGGAGTAATCCACTTAGGCTAATTGGGGACTCCTGTAGCATTCAGTCCATTCCATTGCCAGTGCTCTTCCTGCAAATGCTCCAAGCTAACTGGAAAGGTTGGGCCATTCTACGAAAAGTGCGGAAAACTGTGTGACAAAGATAAAACTGCGCTCCCTTGAAGGCTGACTGTTTGGGAGTATAAAGGCACAAACAAAAAGTGATTCAAAAGGACAGGTAAGTTACTGCTTTAAGACTGTGTTGGGTCATTTCTATGTGAAAGATCTTGAAGTGTTAAACTTCATAACCTCTACAAAATGCACATGTTTTCAAGCACCAAACTAATCACAGATCTGAATTTTTTCCGTGAAACCCAATTTTAGAGTAAAAACCAAGTAACTGGTACAGCATGGTAAACCCTAGTCTATAGACAGAGCCTTCTGCCCAGCTTGTCCCCCGTGTCTTGAGGCATGCACATGCTGCACATGACCAGCGTGGGTCCGGCTGGGAAAGTGGTGCCACTCACCGTAGAGGATGGTTAACATGGACACGGGCATGACTAGGAACCCCAGCAGCATATCGGCTATGGCAAGTGACATCAGGAAATAGTTGGTGGCGTTCTGCAGCTTTTTCTCTAGGGACACAGCCATGATGACGAGGATGTTCCCAGCAATGGTTAGGACGATCACTACAGCTGTCAATAAAGCAGACCAGTTTTTTTCCTGGAGACGGAGGAAGGGGAAACATGGTGGTGAGAGGCACCCTTCACAGGAAATGTTGGTGCGGTTTTCGGAGTCTACTGTCCAGTTAAATGCATCGGAAGTGTTGGCTTCTCCGGAGGAAACGTCTTTACTGTAGAGCCTTGTGTCATCGCTTAATTGCATTAAAGAGTTCATGGAGCTCAAAGAAGTGTTTTCTTCACACAGCATATCCATTTCTGAGCCGCAGCGTGCAGCAGCTGAAGTGTAGAGAGATCGCTAAGTTACAGCCTGTGCTTGCCATTCATCTTCGTCCCTGCACTCTGTCACACTGACGCTGTGGGGCACGCTGGGATCCTCTGGCTGCCTGCCCCTCTCCCATTATTACGGTAATGGAGAGCCGAGGTGGCGCTTCCTGTGTCCCCTGTTCCAGCAGACTCCAACGTTGGCTTTGATCTTTTGAAAACGCGAAGTAAGGACAAAAAAGCAGGATGAACTTTAAGCAGAAGATAGAGTTCAGCCAGGTGGTAGAGTTTTCAGCTTTGGGGGAGAGACCCTGGCTGAGAAAGTTTTGTAGCTACTAGGAATTGGGTTTAATCCTGTCTCACGCTGTCAGTTACTCGGATCACACTAGATTGTCATCTCAATATTGAGACGGCATGCAGTCCAAAACAGCAGGGATGCAGACAGTGTATGGAGAAAGTCAATTATAAAAACAAGCAGTGGTAATCCCATAGTAATTGGATATATTTCGCGTTCTCAGTCTTGGGCTGAATTGCCACAGCTGCCGTCAGGAATTTCAGCTTGCACTGTGCTGCTTCCTTAATAAAAGGAAAGAGGAAACCTCTCTGAAGATCAGTGGATAACTTTCCACGCTAGAAATTATCATCAAATTGATGGCACTGTGGCTAAGCATGATTTCAAACCAGAAAATTAGACAGCAGTATGGGAACTTACATTATCTTCAGATCCACACAGTAGGCACGCTGGGTTATTAGATTCCTTGCTGCCTCTCGCATAGTAATGAAGCCGGGTTGAGCTTTCTCCAGTAGCAGATGAGAGTAATTTGATTTCTGTTTTTTGCTGACTTCCAAAACTGCATGCGAGACCGGAGCCAGTTCCAGCACTGTGAGGTCCGTGTTGGCTTCCTCTGCCACCGCTCAGTCAGATCCTCCCTCCCTGTGCGGCTCGCTCAGCTGGCGCACGGCACGAAATCGCTCCAGAGCCCCCCTCAAAGTCGCATGGGAAAGTAGGCACAGACGTCAGCATCAAGGGGGCTCCTGGTTTCCAGGGGAATGAAATGGCCCTCTGGCTGCCTCCTTCCCTTGATTAGACCTCCCTCTGTGTGTCACAAACTGCAAGGTAGCAACAGCCAGTGAGGGCAGACCAAACGGGCTTTTTTTTTTCCCCTTTCCCCTCACCCTCTCCTTGCTACATGCTATCACTGGGAAGCTTTTTGCTTTAAAAATGAAACTGGAAACAAGGACTCGTATGTAGATTTGTGATGAGGCAGATAAGCTATGCTGTGATGTGTTGGGTTGAAGGGTGCAAAGTGTTGAGCAGAACAGAAATCGGGCTTTGGGATGGTGTGTTCTGAAAGCGTTAGAAGCCTACAGAGCTCCCATCCAAAGCCAACAGGGCTGGTGGCCAAAATGGAATTACTGACACGGGCAGCGTGGGCTTGGAGTGGCTAAGCAGGTCTGTGACAATAACCCTGATGAACGAGGAAGTTTTACTTTGACCATTAAACATGCCCTTCAGCTGGCTGGCTGGCTTTGGGAGAAATATGCCATCTAGATCCTCACACAGGGTAGCAAGTAAGCTTGGTAGAAGAAATGCTGGTGACTGTGCTTCCCTCGTAGTAGTGTGCTGCCTGGGAGTTGTCTCGGGAAGGCAGACAGATCTTAACCTTACACGTGCAGAAAGGGGCTCTTTGCTGAATCCTTGGGGTTTTCTACACTCCTGTCACCTTAACATTCACCCTGGGCACACCTAACTACTCATGCCTGCCACGTGTTGGTGGCTGAATCTGTTCTTTCATAAGAAGATGAAGTTCCAGATCTACCCATCCCGCTGCCCTCTGGACCTTTCCCTCTAGCTGGGAAGACCTTGACCTCCTGAGCATCCATGGCCATTCTCCACTCTGTCGGGGTGCTTGTGCCAGTCACTGTCCTGGTTAGTGGAAGCATCATCTCTACACACGGCTGCTGGTTAGTCACTGCCTCTTTCCTGCTGCCAGATCTCCAGCAGCCTCCAGTGATACCTCGAGCTGTGTATTTCTCACGACTCTCCTGCTACAGCCCATGGCTGCCGTACTTTCGGTGAGGGCTGTGGCAGCCACTTGCTAGGCTGGTGTACTCGTTTTCCCCCTCGCTGCCCTGTTCCCATCCTGCTCCTCTGCATCACATGAGTGCCCTGGGGAACAGTTGGCCAACAGCACAGTCTAGAGTGGCAGGTCCTTGGTACTGAATGTGGTTCTGTAGCTGTAAATAGAACCCCAAGCAATCTGGTTTCTTGCTTCAAAGCTTAGCCTTCTCCATTGTAAAATGGGATAATGGTGGTACCTTCCTCACGAGACTGTTATGAAGCTCAAATGAGAGTCAATTACTTAGTGTTCTCCTTACAAGATGCTCTCAATACTAAGCGTTTACTATTCAGTGTTTCAAAGGCAGAGACAGATTTTTACATCCACTGGTTCCACTTCCCAAATAACCACAACAGCCAAGTCTGGGTCATGCCAAAGCTAGGAGCCAGGAACTCGATCTGAGGCTCCCATGTTAGTGGCAGGGACTTAAGTACTTAATGTACACCATGGTAGGCAGCAGATCCTAGCTTCACAGGAAACTGGATTAGAATAGCCCGAACTCTGGTCTTGATAGCCATTTTTATTAACTCTTATTAAATGCAAATAGAATAATGTCAATTACTACTCAACTGTCGTAGGGCACATGGTTCCTTTCTTATCCACCTGTCCTGTTTGCCTAACTGGCCAGGCCTGTACTCTTGCCTCTATGCTACGTATAGCCTATTAATAGATTGAACCTGGATGTTTCTGACTACGTCTTTTTTTTTTGGCAGTTAGAAAGGTCTTCCTTCCGTTGCTTCTCTCCCCTAAATGGCTGCTACGGCCGGTGCACTGTGCCAATCCAAAGCCAGGAGACAGGTGCTTCCTCCTGGTCTCCCATGCAGGTGCAGGGCCCAAGCACTTGGGCCATCCTCCACTGCCTTTCTGGGCCACAGCAGAGAGCTAGACTAGAAGAGGAGCAACTGGGACTAGAACCTGGAGTTCTGGTGCCGTAGGTGGAGGATTAGCCAAGTGAGCCATGGCGCCGGCCTCTGACTGCTTCTACATGTTTGAAATGAAGTTTCTCGGTTTGGAATGCTCTCGCTCTCCAACTGCTGTCTCCACCTGGGTCACTCCTGCTCACTCTTGAAACTCAGTTCCAAAGTGATCTCTTGGAGTACCAGAGCTGCTACTCACTATTTCTGACCTTTAAGTTATTTAATCTCTGGATTTTAGTTTCTTCACCTAAAATATGGACTACTAACACCTCGAGGACTGACTTGAAAGCTAAATAATTTCCATGTGTGTATTGCACATTTTAAGCACTCAGTAAAGTTCAATTGTTTTTCTTAACAATGTACTAAGCTTTCTGTGGCCTTCTCCAGCGGAGATGAAGACCCTGGCATCTTCTGCAGTCTCCTGTTGAAACACACATTATGTTGTATGTCAGTACCATGTAAGTGTGGACTGTGCCCTGCTCAGTTGAGCATAGAGTTGGTGCCAAGATGTTTGCTCAATGAGTGGCTCGCAATCATCTTAACATATCTGTATTTTTGGACTTCCTACTCATCCTTAACTTTTAATGCAACTTTTTCTCAGAAGGTCTTCAGAGCATGTGTTTTGATTGTCAGCATATATTGAAAACAGATGTGGGGAGAGCCCTAGAACTGAACAGTTTAGGAGGAATACTATTAAAGGGAAATGTAACTAAATATACTCAAGTGTTAGCAAGTGACTCTAAATCATTGTGATAAGTTTTTTTTTTTTTTTTTTAAAGATTTACTTGAAAGTCGGAGTTACATAGAGAAGGAGAAGCAGAGAGAGAGAGGTCTTTCATCCGGTGGTTCACTCCCCACTTGGCCACAACTGCCGGAACTGTACTGATCTGAAGCCGGGAGCCGGGATCTTCCTCTGGGTCTTCCCATGTGGATGCAGAGGCCCAAGAAGTTGGGCCATCTTCTGCTTTCCCAGGCCATAGCAGAGAGCTGGATCAGAAGTGGAGCAGCTGGGACTTGAACCAGCACCCATATAAGATGCCGGCATGGCAGGCAGCAGCTTTACCTGCTACACCACAGTGCCAGCCCTGTGATAAGTTTTTTGTAAAGAACTTGTTATAGTTCTCAGAAGTCTGATGTTCTCGGGCCATACTTCCTTATAACCAATAGCTAGGCTTCTGGTCATTGCAAAAACTAGACAGTTTCTTGTTTGGTTTGCACTGTGAAATTTGGTAACCTAAAATTACTTGTACTTTATGAATACTTATGGGTGCCTATGGACACAACCTTAGTCCTTGGCTACTGACTCTTAAACAGAGCTTGTCTACAAATAGCATAGGGATTTGATTTTTGTAGGGATGTTTCTTGCAGTTCAGATACTGGCTGAGTTTGGCCCAGGAGTGCATCGGCTGCTTTGGTGGAAAATGGGATGTGCTATCCAGCTGCCCCTTCAGGACCTACGCAACCAGTCTCCCTGCTGCTGGAAGGGTTGGTAGCTGATGTTTCTCGGCGGATTCTCCCTGTGGAAATTAACCTGAGACCACCTTGCCTGTGTTTATATTCTTTGCCTGTGGCAGCCAGCATATAGCAAATAGTCTGTTAAGATAGAAAGACCTGGACCCTTCATATCTTAAGGCTACACGGCTTTCAGAGTTCGTCGTGGGATCTATTGGGCCATTGTCATGATTGAATCACAGATGCCTGCTCAGTCTTGTTTCCCTTTTCCCCTGTGGGTTTTGAGATTCCTACACACAATTCTGTCTCAGCTTCTTGAGGAATCCAACCTAAGTAAGACCTATCTTTACAAGCTTAAGTTTTATGCCATAGTATACTCCTGGAGGAATTGGGTGCCTTACAGAGAACAGAAAGGCAAGTGTTATGTACACGATGATGGGTGTTCTCCTTGTTACAAACTTGCTCTTCAATAGATAAGACTTCACTGCTTAATTGTTGCCAGAAGGCATTTAAAGTCCACTTTTCCAAACTAAATGTCGAGTTTTGGGCAGGAAAATTCTAGTACTTATGTCTTCTATGGGAGCATATTTTGCATCCAGTCTAATCCGGAGAGTTGAGCAGAAAGTGATTGCCTGAAGTTAGATGTGGACTATTTTTTACAATGACATTTGTGACTTTTTCCTATGCTACAGTTGTTGGGTTTCTGAAACGTCAGTGCCTGACAGATGTTAGTATATATGTGGGAAGTTTTTTCCTTGAGCAGTGGAATGTGACACATCCTGTGTACTATAGCCTCTGCTTGGAAATACAGTGTACATTGCATTAAAAGGCTGTGAGATCCTATGGTAAAGAAACTTATTTCTTGCTGCTCTTACTCCAGAAGACCTATAGAGCACTTTAGTCTTAAAACTGAATTCTGGGCCGGCGCCGCGGCTCACTAGGCTAATCCTCCACCTTGCAGCGCCGGCACACCGGGTTCTAGTCCCGGTCGGGGTGCTGGATTCTGTCCCGGTTGCCCCTCTTCCAGGCCAGCTCTCTGCTGTGGCCCGGGAGGGCAGTGGAGGATGGCCCAAGTGCTTGGGCCCTGCACCCCATGGGAGACCAGGAGAAGCACCTGGCTCCTGCCATCGGATCAGCGCGGTGCGCCGGCCGCAGCGCGCCAGACGCGGTGGCCATTGGAGGGTGAACCAACTGCCAAAGGAAGACCTTTCTCTCTGTCTCTCTCTCTCTCACTGTCCACTCTGCCTGTCAAAAAAAAAAAAAAACTGAATTCTGCTTGACATTCATAAAAACATATGTGTCTCTAAATATACAGTTGGGATCTTGATAAAGATACACTTGTATACTCATGACCCCGATCCAAATATCTGCTGCTTACTTAACTTCTGAAAGTTCCTTCATATTCTTTTGACCCTTTACTTAAGTGGAAGCATGTAGGATATGCTTGTTTCCTGTCTGCCTTTGCGTCCTCAATTAGGTCTGACATTCACCTGTGTTACTGTGAGTGACTTCATTAATGGATGAGAAACTGGTAAATGGCTTAGAATTTTGGAAAACACTATTTTCGTTTAAAGGAGAACACGGTTGATAGTGTTTTATCTTCTTTGCTTTGTAACTTCTCAAGGCAGCGTTAATCTCCACTCAGTTGACTGTACCTGATTTGTTCTAAACAGGTTGCATAGAATTCTGACTCTCTGTTCTTTAAGATCGTGTTGGAGACTTCCGTCACCTAAATCTTAACAGTGGTTTCAGGGTAAGAAAATATTCAGAGAATTTCCTGTATGACAGGAAATCCATCACTTCATTTGGATGCTCCAATTCTTTTTTTTCTTGACAGGCAGAGTGGACAGTGAGAGAAAGGTCTTCCTTTTGCTGTTGGTTCACCCTCCAATGGCCGCCACGGCTGGTGTGCTGCGGCCGGCGCACTGTGCTGATCCGAAGGCAGGAGCCAGGTACTTATCCTGGTCTCCCATGGGGTGCAGGACCCAAGGACCTGGGCTATCCTCCACTGCACTCCCGGGCCACAGCAGAGAGCTGTCCTGGAAGAGAGGCAACCAGAACAGAATCCGGCGCCCAGACTGGGACTAGAACCTGGTGTGCCAGCACCGCAAGGTGGAGAATTAGCCTATTGAGCCACGGCACCGGCCGATGCTCCAATTCTTAATTTGAAACAAGCCAGGTCATTTGGCCACTGTGTGCCTGGAACATATCATGTTTTGAATTGTCTTCTGTTATGCCAGTGGTTTTTATTTAAAGAAACTACTTGAAATTAGCTAATGACTGTCTTCTATCTCCTAAAACTTTTACTGATGTTCATATTGTATAAAAGGCAGAGATGGATATTTTCATCTGCCGATACGCTCTCCAAATTCCTTCAACTACCTGGCTAAGGCCAGGATTCAGGAACTCAATTGGGGTCTTCCATGCAGGGGGTAGGTATTAAACTATTATAGCCATTACTGCTGCCTTCCAGGTTGCACATTAACGGACAGCTGGAATTGGCAGAGCTGGGATTTGAACGTAAACACTGCAAGGTGGGCTGCATGCATTCTGAATGATATCTTGACTACTGTGCCAAATGCCCACTGTGCCATCTAAACAGTAAAGTTTAGTTTAACAATACATGCTAACTTAATAGAGCTTAAATTCTTTTTATTTCTCTTATTTGAAAGGCAGAGCAACTGATCTCCTACTTACTGGCTCACTCCTCAAATGCTAGCAGAATCTAGGGAGGGCCAGGCTAAAAACAGGATTTGGGAACTCAATATAGGTCTCCCAAGTGGGTGGTGGAGACACAAGTACATGAACCATCACTTGCTGCTTCCTATGGTATGCATTAACAGGAAGCTGGAACGGAGAGTATAGCCAGAACTAGAACCTGGCTAATGCCATATGTAATGAGTGTTCCAGGTGGTATCTCAACTGTTCTTCTAAATGCTTAACATAACTTTTAAATGTGTGTGTGTCTGTGCATGTGTTTGTGTCAGAGAAAGTT